AGAGATTTCTGTGCATTAATTTTGTATACTGCTGCTCTACCACATTCATTGATTAGCTCTAACAGTTTTCTCATAGCATCTTTAGGATTCTCTATGTATAGTGTCACATCATCTGCAAACAGTGACAGCTTTACTTCTTCTTTTCCGATTTGGATTACTTTTATTTCTTTTTCTTCTCTGATTGCTGTGGCTAAAACTTCCAAAACTATGTTGAATAATAGTGATGAGAGTGGACAACCTTGTCTTGTTCCTGATCTTAGAGGAAATGGTTTCAGTTTTCACCATTGAGAATGATGTTGGCTGTGGGTTTCTCATATATGGCCTTTATTATATTGAGGTAAGTTCCCTCTATGCCTACTTTCTGGAGGATTTTTATCCTAAATGGGTGTTGAATTTTGTCAAAAGCTTTTTCTGCATCTATTGAGATGGCCATATGGTTTTTCTCCTTCAATTTGTTAATATGGTGTATCACATTGATTGATTTGTGTATATTGAAGAATCCTTGCATTCCTGGGATAAACCCCACTTGATCATGGTGTATGATCCTTTTAATGTGCTGTTGGATTCTGTTTGCTAGTATTTTGTTGAGGATTTTTGCATCTGTATTCATCAGAGATATTGGCCTGTAGTTTTCTTTTTTTGTGACATCTTTGTCTGGTTTTGGTATCAGGGTGATGCGATGGTGGCCTCGTAGAATGAGTTTGGGAGTGTTCCTCCCTCTGCTATATTTTGGAAGAGTTTGGGAAGGCTAGGCGTTAGCTCTTCTCTAAATGTTTGATTGAATTCACCTGTGAAGCCATCTGGTCCTGGCCTTTTGTTTGTTGGAAGATTTTTAATCACAGTCTTAATTTCAGTGCTTGTGATTGGTCTGTATATATTTTCTATTTCTTCCTGGTTCAGACTTGGAAGGTTGTGGTTTTCTAAGAATTTGTCCATTTCTTCCAGGTTGTCCATGTTATTGGCATATTGTTGTTTGTAGTAATCCCTCATGATCTTTTGTATTTCTGCAGTGTCAGTTGTTACTTCTCCTTTTTCATTTCTAATTCTATTGACTTTAGTCTTCTCCCATTTTTTATGGTTGAGTCTGGCTAAGGGTTTATCAATTTCGTTTATCTTCTCAAAGAACCAGCTTTTAGTTTTATTGATCTTTGCTATCGTTTCCTTCATTTCTTTTGCATTTATTTCTGATCTGATCTTTATGATTTCTTTCCTTCTGCTAACTTTGGGGGTTTTTTGCTCTTCTTTCTCTATTTGCTTTAGGTGTAAGGTTAGGTTGTTTATTTGAGATTTTTCTTGTTTCTTGAGGGAGGATTGTATTGCTATAAACTGCCCTCTTAGAACTGCTTTTGCTGCATCCCATAGGTTTTGGGTCATCGTGTTTTCATTGTCATTTGTCTCTAGGTATTTTTTTATTTCCTCTTTGATTTCTTCAGTGATCTCTTGGTTATTTAGTAGTTATTGTTTAGCCTCCATGTGTTTGTATTTTTTACAGATTTTTTTTCCTGTAATTGATAGCTAGTCTCATAGCGTTGTGGTAGGAAAAGATACTTGATACAATTTCAATTTTCTTAAATTTACCAAGGCTTGATTTGTGACCCAAGATATGATCTATCCTGGAGAATGTTCCATGAGCACTTGAGAAGAAAGTGTATTCTGTCATTTTTGGATGGAATGTCCTATAAATATCAATTAAGTCCATCTTGTTTAATGTGTCATTAAAACTTGTGTTTCCTTATTTATTTTCATTTTGGATGATCTGTCCATTGGTGAAAGTGGCATGTTAAAAGTCCCCTACTATTTTTGTGTTACTGTCGATTTCCCCTTTTATGGCTGTTAGCATTTGCCTTATGTATTGAGGTGCTCCTGTGTTGGGTGCATAAATATTTACAATTGTTGTATCTTCTTCTTGGATTGATCCCTTGATCGTTATGTAGTGTCCTTCTTTGTCTCTTGTAATAGTGTTTATTTTAAAGTCTATTTTGTGTGATATGAGAATTGCTCCTCCAGCTTTCTTTTGATTTCCATTTGCATGGAATATCTTTTTCCATCCCCCCACTTTCAGTCTGTATGTGTCCCTAGGTCTGACGTGGGTCTCTTCTAGACAGCAGATGTACAGGTCTTGTTTTTGTATCCATTTAGCCAGTCTGTGTCTTTTGGTTGGAGCATTTAATCCATTTACATTTAAGGTAGTTATCAGTATGTATGTTCCTATTACCATTTTCTTAATTGTCTTGGGTTTGTTTTTGTAGGTCTTTTCCTTCTCTTGTGTTTCCTGCCTAGAGAAGTCCCTTTAGCATTTGTTGTAAAATTGGTTTGGTGGTGCTGAATTCTCTTAACTTTTGCTTAACTGTGAAGGTTTTAATTTCTCTGTCAAATATGCATGAGATCCTTGCTCGTTAGAGTAATCTTGGTTGTAGGTTTTTCCCTTTCATCACTTCAAATATGTCCTGTCACTCCCTTCTGGCCTGCAGAGTTTCTGCTGAAAAATCAGCTGTTAACTTTATAGTGATTCCCTTGTATGAAATTTGTTGTTTTTCCCTTGCTGCTTTTAATACTTTTTCTTTTATTTAATTTTTGATAGTTTGATTATTATGTGTCTCAGCATGTTTCTCTTTGGGTTTATCTGGTATGGTACTCTCTGGGCTTCCTGGACTTGACTGACTATTTCCTTTCCCACGTTAGAGAAGTTTTTGACTATAATGTGTTCAAATATTTTCTCAGACCGTTTCTTTTTCTCTTCTTCTTCTGGGACCCCTATAATTCCAATGTTGGTGCGTTTAATGTTGTCCCAGAGTCTCTGAGACTTTCCTCCATTCTTTTTTCTTTATTCTGCTCCCTGGCAGTTATTTCCACCATTTTATCTTTCTGCTTATTTATCCGTTCTTCTGCCTTTGTTTGATCTTTAGTTCTTCTAGATCCTTGTTAAATGTTTCTTGTATTTTCTCCTTTCTGTTTCCAAGGTTTGGGATCATCTTTACTATCATTACTCTGAATTCTTTTTCAGGTAGGTTGCCTATATCTTCTTCATCTATTTGGTCTTGTAGGTTTTTACCTTGCTCCTTCGTCTGTAACATATTTTTTTTGTTCTTTTATTTTTTTGATGTGTGGTGCTGTATTCCTTTCTTACTGGTTGTTTGGCCTGAGATGTGCAGCACTGTCGTTTGCAGGCAGTTGGATAGAGCTGGGTCTTGGTGCTGAGATGAGGACCTCTGGGACACCTCACTCCGATGGATATTCCCTGGGGTCTGAGGTTCTCTGGTAGTCCAGCGGTTTGGACTTGGAGCTCCCACCACAGGAGCTCCGGCCCTACCTCCGGCCTGGAAACCAAGATCCCGCAAGCTTCGTGGTGCAGAAAAAAAAAAGGAAGAACGAAAGAAAAAAAGGAGCAGTACAATATCAAAGAATAAAAAACAAAATAAAGGGCTTCCCTGGTGGCGCAGTGGTTGAGAGTCCACCTGCCAATGCATGGGACACGGGTTTGTGCCCGGGTCTGGGAAGATCCCACATGCTGTGGAGCGGCTGGCCCGTGAGCCATGGCCACTGAGCCTGCGCGTCCGGAGCCTGTGCTCCGCAACGGGAGAGGCCACAACAGTGAGAGGCCCGCGTACCGCAAAAAAACAAAAGAACAAACTAAAATTAGAAAGATAAAAAATATATTAGGAAAAGTAAAACTATAATTGAAACTACTGCAACAAGGTAAAATAAAACCACAGCAGGAAAAAGAAAACAAAGGCGGGGGGGAGGGCAGCAAGCCAAAAGGAGAGATCACTAACAAACCATAAAGAATAAAATGAAATTAGAAAAATAAAAGATTTATTAGGAAAATAAAAATATAAAAGAATCAACAACAAGTTAAAATAGAATCCCAGTCTAAAAGAGGAAGAAATAAAAGAAAAAAGGAAAAAAAAAAAAAAGAAAACCTTGGTTATGGGGGTGGAGTGTAGGTGGGGAGGGGAAATTAGGCACGGGTGGGGTTTGGGGGGCAGGACCCAGGCGCGTGGGGGTGTGACATTTGAGTGTGGGACGGGGCCTCTGCTTAGGACCTGCGCAGAAGCGGGAGGCAGCACGTGGGAAGGAGGGCTGTGGAGTGTGGGCTTCTGGAGGTAGGAGGAAGGGCCCTGGGTGAGGGTGTGTGGGTTTGGTTTAGGCCCAACTCATTGGAGGGGGTCTCCCAGTGTAGAGGTGGGGCCCTGTGTGGGGTGTAGGGGCGGGGCTTGGACTCTGCGCTTTAAGAGGGAGGCTCTGAGGGCAGAGGATTAGTCCTGGGAGCCCAACAGGCTTCCCGGTGCCTAAGTGGACAAGGAAGGCACTGGCCTCTTCCCTTACGTTCCTTCACGCACCTCCCCCATCATCTACCCCAGGGTCTCCCCCGTCGCCGCTGGACCCCTAACCGTGGGTGGGTCCCGCTGGGTATAGGAACTCCTCCCCTCCCCCAGCCACCCCTCAGGGGTGCCGGTCCCGGAGGTCCAGCCTTTACTTTTGCTCCCCCTTCCCTCCCTCCCACTCCCTCAGGACCCGTGCGGCTGGACCTCCTTGGTGGGCAGAGGATCAGGCCCGGGATCTCAGCAGGTTCCTGGGGGCCCAAGTGGGCGCGGGAAACCTGGCCACGCTCCCTTTTGATCCTCTACCCTCCCAGTGGTTCCCCAATTTCCCCCTTCCGTCGTGGGATCCCTTCCCCTCCCCCAGCCGCCCCTCAGGGGCACCAGTCCCGTCCTGCCTCCACTTCTCCTTCCCCTTCACTCCCCCCACGCCCCACGTCCTACCTGGTCGCTGGGTTTTCCTCCCGTCCCCTTAGGTGTCCGTGGTCCCCCACCGGTGCCTGCTAGGTGACCTCGTTGTGAGGAGATGCGAATTCCACATCCTCCTAGTGCGCCATCTTGACTCCGCCCCCTCAATTCTTTATATTTGTTAGCCTATTAAAACTCTTAGTCAGATAAACATTTTTATAGTTCATCTTTCAGTGCACAGTGTTTTTTAAAAATTTTTTTTTTCTTTTCTAGGTATTTAATTCAAGGTTGTTTAAAGTCAAAGAAAGACATTTGTTTCTTGCCTATTTAGGAAGAGCACAGTATGATCCAGGAAAACCTAACTACATCTCTTTGGACAAATTGGTATCTGTGCCTGATGAAATATTTTGTGAAGAGATGGCCAAGGCCTCAGTACAGGACTTTGAAAAATTCTTAAAAACTCTTTAGTTTTTGATAGATGTTAAAATGTAATAATGTAAAGTGAATGTACATATGAATAAATATATTTTAAAATACATACCTCAAACCTCAATTGATATCGGAAACAATTTCTTAATATTATAAATTTGGGAACACTTCTGGTAGATGTTTCTTACAAGTCCTGGTAAGTTAATTCGTCTTTGACTCAATCAATTCCTTCTTGGGAAGAAGAGAATTAAAATATAGCAAGCTTAGAGAAAGAGAGTCAGTTTACTAGGCTGGTGTGTTGTCCTTCTGGTGAAGATGAGAACAGTAGAAGATTTTCCTTTTTATTTTCAAAGTCCTTTATAGTGGTTTCATCACAAGACAGCTCTATTTTCTTTGAAGTGTTAGGAGTTTCTGGGGCAGGCTATATTATCCATCTAATATCTACTACTCACTTAGATTATGCTACAGAACACATTCGATTTGGGATTATCTACACTGTTATGTTTCTGAGCAAAGATAGTCAAAGTTGCCCACAGCTGGCTACTGAGAATCAGGAAAGGAAAAGGGATAGGGAGGAAAGTTGTTTGAAGGTGAGCAATGAGACATAGTAAAAGGCCATAACAAACCTTTGACTTTTTGCCAGTGTGTAAAGATTTGAAGCATGAATACTTTTTTTGTATTTTCCATTTACCATTTAGACATGTAATCCTGGGCAGATGATTTAACCCGTGCGTCTGATTCTTTATTTGTAAGGTGAGGCATCCTGGCTTCACTTACCTGCCTTGGGATCACGAGATTGAGTAGACTGTTAACACTGGGGGCCCCCAAGGAGCCACACCTGGTATCTGCGCTCGCACTGTAGCCCCCTCCCACGCTGACTCAGCCGGTGCGCTCTGCTTCATGGGACACTTGTGCATCTGTGCTTGTCCTCTTGGAACCCTGAGCCAGGATGGAAAGAGGTCTGGTGACGCTTGGAGAAATGAGGTGGAACAAGACTCCTGACCAAACCTCAGCTATTCCGGCTCTGCCACCTGGGCACCAGGTAAGGGAGTGAAGAGGCCGTCTTGGATATTCCAGCCTCAGCAGATACCACACGGAGCAGAGCTACCCGGCCGAATTCACAACTTGGAGAAACAAAGTGTTTCAAACCACTAACTTTGGGGGAAGTTTGTGTGCATTGGGGTTTTGTGTGCTGGATATCCTGAAACCTTGTGAGAAACTAAATTCATAATTTGTCAGGGCCTTCCTGTTGGCGTATTTTATTCATGCGCTCAACAGACATTTGAGTTCCTAGAATACAGTGCTGAGTGTGGCATGGATATGTGCCTTCACGGAGTTCTCTGATGGATGAGATCAATACACAGGAAACAAGGAAGAAGGTTCAATCAGGAGGCGAAGCATGGAACCATCCTGCCTAGTCTTCCTATGGCTCAGAACCTCATTTTGCCTTTGTTAACAACCCACTCAGAACAGGCTGGCTGTGCTGCTGTAATGAACAGCCCTAAAACCCAAGAAGTTTTTATTTCATACATGTCCAACTTGGGGCCAAAAAATTTCTGCTCCACGTCATCCGAGTGGCAGAGGTTGATGGAGCTTCCACCATGTCCGAAATGTAGCCAGTCTATGGAAGGGGAAAGGAATGTGGAAAACTGCTCTTAAAAACGTCTCACAGGGGCTTCCCTGGTGGCGCAGTGGTTGAGAGTCCGCCTGTCGATGCAGGGGACGCGGGTTCGTGCCCCGGTCCGGGAAGATCCCACATGCCGCGGAGCGGCTGGGCCCGTGAGCCATGGCCGCTGAGTCTGCGCATCCGGAGCCTGTGCTCCGCAACGGGAGAGGCCCGCGTACCGCAAAAAAAAAAAAAAAAAAAAAGTCTCACATTTTTCTTGGCCAAAGCATCACATGGCCATGCCTAGCTTTAAGGGGGCAGAGAAGTGCAATCCTGCCATATGCCAGAAGGAAAACCAAAAATAATTTTTGAATCAACACTAATGGCTACCAGCAAACATCCAGGCTCTCTAGGCTTAATGCCTGTAGGAGCTGGATTTTGACAGTCCTGGGTATAATCCCTTGACAAGGTCTTCCTTTTCTTGCCACCTTCACCCTGTAACCAGAAAACTGAAACTTGAAGGGTAAGGAGGGAGGGAGAAGAGTTTACCGAGTACTTCTTTTTTATTTAATTTAATAATTTCTTTAAAATTTATTTTGGCTGCGTTGGGTCTTCGTTGCTGTGCGCGGGCTTTCTCTAGTTGCGGCGAGCGGGGGCTACTCTTTGTTGCACTGCACAGGCTTCTCATTGTGGTGGCTTGTTGTAGAGCACGGGCTCTAGACGCGTGAGCTTCAGTAGTTGTGGCACTCGAGCTCAGAAGTTGTGGCTCACAGGCTTTAGAGTGCAGGCTCAGTAGTTGTGGTGCACGGGCTTAGCTGCTCTGCGGCATGTGGGATGTCCCCGGACCAGGGCTCGAACCCATGTCCCCTGCACTGGCAGGCGGATTCTTCACCACTGTGCCACCAGGGAAGTCCCTACTGAGTACTTCTTGTAAGGTGATGTGCCAACTTACAAATGTACTGCATTTCTTCATATCTTCCAACTTCACTTTGGCTAGTGTAGTTCTGGGAGCAGCCATTCACCACTTTATAGTACTGCGTATAGCGCTGAGTAATACTGAGAATTTGTGGTGGCACAGAGAAAAAGAAAAAGGCAGAAGGCAACAGAATTTTAGAATTGGAATGTGACTAAGACCATTAAACCTTTTGGATTTACAATTAGATTTACAATTAGCCATTCTATACTGTCCCAGGTCTCAGCTTAGGATGGAAGAAAACAGAAGTAGATATTGGTGGGTAGTTGCTCTGGACTGAATTGTGACCCCCCCCCCCACGCCCAAATTCATGTAATGAAGCTCTAACCCTCAGTGTAATGGCATTTGGATGGGGCCTCTGAGAGATAATACAGGTTTAGATAAAGTCATAAAGGTGGGGCTTTCATGACGGTATTAGTGTCCTTGTAAGGGACACAAAAGAGCTTGCTCTCTCTCTACCATGGGAGGACACAGTAAGAAGGCAGACCTCTACAAGCCACAGGGAAAGAGTTCTCAACTAAAACTGACCATGCTGGCATCTTGATCTTATGCTTCTAACCTCCAGAACTGTGAGAAAATAAATTTTTTAAGCTATTCAGTCTACAGTATTTTGTTACCATAGGCTGAGCTGACCCAGACAGTAGTGGTTGCAGAAGTTCATCAGTAACTGCATAAGCATCAGTCATCCTAACTTGGATTGTTTTCTGTCCCTAGAGTGTTTTTTTTTTCCAACTTTTAAATCTCTTTAATACACCTGGAGTTTATTTTGATGAAAGGTGTAAACAGGGAGTCTGCCTTGTCCCCTCTCCCTGCCTCACCCACTAACCAATAATTTTGTTCTGCATCCTTTAGTAAAATTCTCCCTCAACAATTTGTGATATTGCTGCCCCTAGGTTTTTATAGCTTAGACTTAACATGTTGGGACTGAGACCTTAAAAATGTACTTTTACCTTAAAATTGCATTTGAATTCTGCTATACATCTCAGATTTAATATTAAAATTTTTTTTTCAACTGACCTTCCACTATAATGGCTTGAGGTAGAACTTCACCTGGAGAAACAAGGTGAGAGAGGGTTAGTGTCTCCTGGATTAGTGGTGTAGCATGTAGCCCTAGAATTAAGGAGTGCCGAAGTTTTATCTGTATTCTCAGATTCTAGAAGATGAATCCGGATTCTTCCTAGCTTGTGTGCCCTTGGACAATTTATGCAACCTTTCTGAGCCTCAGTTTCCTCTTCTCTACAATGGGTACAATCATAGTATTTATCATATAGGTTTAGAATTAAATGAAAATATGTCCATAAAACGCTTAGCGTGTTGCTTGTCACAAAGGGCTCAATTTATGCTGCCCAAGCTCTTAGAGCTCGTCAGCAACAGAACCAGGCTGAAGACCGGGTGTCCTAATTCCTCGCCTAGTGCTTTTTCCATCTTGTCATATGGAATGCCTCTTGGAACCAGGGGCGGGTCCAAGCCTATGGGATTGCTGTAATTCTTGCGGAGAGGGGCGCGGGGCAGGTGCCAACGCCGGCCGCCAGGCCGCCAGAACTGCGCCTGCGCCTGCACCCACTCGCTCTCCCACCCCCCCCCCCCCTCGCGCCGTTGACGTAACACGCCTGCGCACTGGACCTTGCGCGACCTCTAGGACTTACCCAGCGGGCAACGCTTCTGTCTCGGGTTAAAATGGCGAGTAGGCCTGCCGGTAAGTGAGCGGTGTCCTGCTTGGCGGGCATCGCCGTGCTCAAACTTTTATTCTCGCAACTTGCTCTTCTTCCTCTGCTCTCTCTAAATGGCCAGGTTTGCGGCAAAAGGGAAGGCGGCGGCTTCCGGCCGCCTGAAGGAGGCCTTGGCCTCACCCCCCTGCTGTCTCCAGGCCCGGCTCGTTTGGTGATGGGACCCGCTGTTGGTGAAGGTGCCCGCGGTGTCTCCCACAGCCCTGGCGTTCCGGCCTGCTAGCGCTCAGCAGCCCTTCCCCTCGGCCTTAGAAGAGTTCAGGGGAGATAATTAGTGGCTGACTTTCAACCCAAATGAACTGAGTGCTTACTGTGAGCCAGGCGCTGTCATGTGCGTTATTAGCTCGATGAACTCTCCTGCTAGTGCGAGGAAGATGGTGCTAGTTTCCCTTTTCGGCTGGTAAGATAACTGAGGCGAAGTGACCGGAGGAAGTAGGATTGGAAATCTCAATCTCGTTCCACCTCTCGCGCTTCTCAAACTGGGAATTAGAGGCAGCTGAGCAAGGGTTACAGCGAAACTTCGGTTTAACCTTGGCTTATCTGGAACGTCAACTTGATCTGTGGATTTGGAGAAATTTGTATTTATTCCAGGCACTGGAACAAATGTATTTATTATGGAATAGGATGCAAAAATTACCGGAATACTTAAAACAGAACGTGAAAAAAGTGCAGTTTTCCCTGTGTGTGGTTTTTTTTTTTTTGCCAATCCCTGCCCTCTGGCGGTATAAATTGGAATAGCTTTAAAAAAATGTTGGTTCCTTCTTCCCTGCCCCCAGCAATTGTGACGCTATTAGGAAACATCAGATTGCCAGAAAAATTCGTTAACCTAAATGACATTGAGCTTTTGGGGAGTGGGGGAGAAATTTAAGAATTCATTATTTCATTAACTTGACAAATACTGTAGGCGTTCTGCTTCTGCCCTGTGTTTGGAAACTAGATAGACCTGCCCTCAGCCCTATTATTAGCTGCCTTTGATCTTGGATGGGATAATTTATGTAAGCCTTATTCCTCTTCTGCAAGGATAGGCGTGTTGTAAATAACTCTAGCTAATGGTGGTAAAGCAAATAGAATAGTGCCTAGCACACAGTGAGTGTTCAATGAATAGTAATCATTATTACCATCACTGGTAAATATGTTTACAGATAATTTTATGTTTACAAATAATTTATGTCCTATAAGTATGTTTGTATATTGTTGACTCTTTGGTAGTTGTCTTTCCAGAAGTAACGTTATATACATGGTGCTTCATTTCCAAGGAGATTTACCAAAGCTGTGATGTACTAAGGAGGGGTTGAAGTGAAAGGAGGGTTTGGTTTCCTTCTTTGGTAAGGGGCTAACCCTAAGACAAAACTTTAAAAGAAAATTTAAACTTGCCATACCTCCCCTTCTGTACCACATGTCTCCTGTAAACACCAAGCACTATCATGTTGCCCTTAGGTCCTACTGGGTAACCCATCCTGCTCAGTCCTGTTCCCCAGAGAGTTTTAACGTTACCTATTTTTCCTCATCCATTTTCAAATACCCATTCCCTCAGTGGAAAGTTAGCTGCTTGAGAGTAGGAGAATGTGCTTCTTTTACTAGTCCATATTAATATTAAATGACTGACTAATGGTATCAAAACCCTCCCAGAAATACATATATTTTTAAAGAGAGTAGCCAAGTGAAATAAAGGTAATGTAGAATAAAAATTTTGGAGGATGGGGGTCATTTAGATTTGCCGGTGTATGCTGAAATCTCATCTTTTCATACAGCTCCAACTCCCTTGAAAAGTTTACAGTTATTTCCTATAACCTATTTCTGAAACTACAAATGATGGAGAAGTTCCCAGTTTCTTTTTCATCCCCCACCCCTCAATTCTGATGGTAGCAGGGGGACAAAAAGGAATGGGATGCTTGACTTTGAGAAGCTGGAGTGGCCCTCCGTATCCACAGGTTCCACATTCGAGGATCCAGCCAACCTCCTGATGGAAGATATTTGGGGGAAAAGTTCCACAAAGTTTAAAAAAGCAAAACTTGAATTTGTTGCTCTCAGGCAACTATTTACATAGCATTTATTTCGGATTTACAACTATTCACATAGCATTTACATTGTATTAAGTATTATAAGTAATCCAGAGATTATTTAAAGTATACAGGAAGATGTGCTTAGGTTATATGCAAACACTACACCATTTTATATAGGGGACTTGAGCCTCTCGGATTTTGATATCTGAGGGGGGTCCTGGAATCAATCCCCTGAGGATATCAGGGGACTTACTGTACCTACAGATCTTTAGTACGTTAAGTGTTTGAGTTTATCCTTTTTTCCCCATGACTTAATTGCCCAATTTTTTTACCTGCAATACTTTTGCTCATAGATAAAATAAGCTATTTTTATCTACAATACATAGGGTATATATATGCTTTGAAAAGAAATTCCTTCCTGTGTTGGCATTTTTTTACCTGGTTGCTTATGTACTATATAAGTGAACTGTTAGCAGTTAACAGTGTGACAATATCAGTTGCAGCATCAAGCAAATGGCTGGAGGGTATTCGAAAATGGTATTACAATGCTGCCGGGTTCAATAAACTGGGTGAGTATTTGTGCTTTCTTCTGGTTTTTTTTTTCTTTTTCTGAGAGTAGTGCTTTTTTTTTTTTTTTTTGAGAGTTGTGCTTTTGCAAGAGTTATGGATCCCAAAAATACGTTAACTAATTGCACCTGTGTGCACTAGAAATCTTAAAATTAGGTCACATTTTATTGTTAAATCCATTTCCTTTTTATTATTATGAGAAGAGAGGGATGGAATTGTCTCAAATGTATGAGCTGGAAATGATTTATGTTCTTGAAATATGGTAGCAGAACATTTTCCTTATTATATGTTCCCTCTCTCAACTCCTCCGCTTATCATTTTAAAATTTAAGTTGTATGAACTTTGAAAGTAGAGATTTTTCAAATGTTAAAATTGTCTGACATCTTTACAATTATTTGATGCCTGAACTATTTTTTAGAACTTCATACTTTGCCATGAACTTCATCTTTTGTAATTGAAGCGTGAGGGAAGCATCATTAAATGTTACTGGTTCCTTAGTACACTATCATTTTAAGCTTCTTTAATACCTTGATCTCAGAATTAAAGTATAAGAAAGTAGAGATATAGTCTATTGATATGTGTTTAAAAACAAAGTAGACATTTTAAATGATTTTAAAATTGCTATAGATAAAACGTGAATTTTGTGGCAGTAGATTTTAAAAGACTCATATTGTTTCCATAGTACCATTTAAGAAATAATCCATTAAATAACCCATTATTGTGTGTGAAATGAATTGAGTTTCCATGATACCTAACTCTTCACATTACCACCCAAGTTAAGTTAATGACTTAGGTTATAAGTCATAATTTTACTCATTTTTTAGAAATTCCTTATTTTTGAGATGCATATTCAATCTTACTCTCTTGTTTTTTATCATAGGCTTAATGCGAGATGATACAATATATGAGAATGACGATGTAAAAGAAGCCATAAAAAGGCTTCCTGAGAACGTTTATAATGAGAGGGTGTTTCGCATTAAGAGAGCACTGGACCTGACCATGACCCAGCAGATCTTGCCTAAAGAGCAGTGGACAAAATATGAGGAGGTAGAACAGCTCTTTTGCATCTGATAATGTTGGCCATGAAGGATTGAGTATTAGAAACAGAGAACACATTCCTTTGTATAGTGCTTTAGAGTTCTTAAAGTTGTGTCAAATCAAAATCCTTATGACAGTCTGGTGAGGTTAGTAGAGCAAGTGTTAGTTCCATTTTAGAGGTAAACACATTGAGACTTAGAGATGAAGTGACTTCCAGAATCATTAAGCAGGCCGCTGATACAGAGATCCAGGACTAGAATCCAGGTCTTCTGCCTCCCAGGCCATTGTTCTCCCTCTACACTCTGCTTTCTGCTCGGATGAAAAAATGGTGGTGTTCATGTGATCAGCCCATTGAGTGGCCTTCTGGCTCCTGGGAAGGACGCTGTGAAGCAAACCCTCACCCCCTGAACTGCATTGAAACTAGGCCAAAGCTTGTAGACTCATTCCTTTTTCTTTTCTGACAGTCTTCTCTCTCATAACCTATCAGAGTAGCTTATTACAGTATCTTTATGGGTTTTTACATTTTAGAAAAGCAGGCAATTTTTAGTCTGCTTGAGAATATATTTTCTTAAGTTGGAAATTAATTTTGATAGATTTCTTTTGTTGTTTAAGACCTATTGAGTATTGGGGGTATATCAGTATGTAATGGTAGCATATAATATTTTTCTTTTATTCATTCTTTAGGATAAATTCTACCTTGAACCATATCTGAAAGAGGTTATTCGGGAAAGAAAAGAGAGAGAAGAATGGGCAAAGAAATAATCATGTAGTCTAAATCTGGATGCAGCTATCCTGAAGTATTTTTATGAAGTTGGTTAAACCTGAAATGTCCAATGTAGAACTATCTGGGCTGTAAATGTATTACTTTAAATAAATCTCTATTATAATTGTTGGAGCTTTGGAATTCTAAACCTTATGCTGAATAACTACTGTATTTACTTATCTGTTACAGTTTTTTCCAAACTTGTAAGATATTTTTTCAGTTAGTGGTTAACTGCCTCCTGGGGCCCAGAGAAGCCACTTGAATCAGTTTAAGTAGAATGGTCACATCTGGATTGTTAGCAAGATACTTAGAAGCCCCAACAGGGCCTCCCTTGCAAGGATGGAATAGAGCAAGAAACAAGCACCAGTGAGTTTATTTTACCTGAAGCAAACAGCACAAGCAGATTGGCTCTCAGACTTCAAAAGTTACTGAATGAAAGGAGAGAGGATTCACCCCTTAGTTTGCTATGATTGGGAAACAGCCTTTTTTCAACCACTGTTGTCCAAATATAATTGCTTTTGCATCCTATCTTTTAAAACAAAATTATGTATACAGCCTCAATATGAGTCTGTATAAGTTATATATATGTGCTCCTGTGCTAATATGTGTATTAGAAAATAAAAAACAGACATTAGAAAAATAGTCAAAAATATAAA